AAAAAATATATGATAAACTAGTTTGGAATAGCAGATTTGTTCGTTTCAGTTATGATTGATGTGGTTGATATTAGGATTTGCATCGGTACTTTGTGTGAGAAATGTGTCATACAGCATACTATACTTCGACAACGATTAATTTATATAATTTGTGGTGATACTTAGCAATGAGGTAGAGTTTCTTTTATTTTAAGTTGGTTATTCATTCTAATAATAATAGAGAGCTATACTCTTCCAACAATGAAAATGGCCTCCCTAATAAAATTTTAAGAGCAAATGGCAGATGCAAATACTTTCATGCTTAAATGTTATATTGTACAGTAGAATACACTCAGTCAAATATGTTTCATGCTTAAATGTCATATTTTAAAGCAAAATACGTACTGAATACACAAATCAGACGAGTCAAATTCTCTAATTTTTCAGTCGCACACTAGTCTATAAAAATGACATTTCATAATACAGAGTCTAAATCTTGTAATTTTTCAATCGCACACTTATACAGTGTAGTATGCCTATAAATATGACATTTTATAATACGAATATACATTATTCGTACAAAAGGTATTGTTGTTTGACGAGTAGACATCCTAAAACAATATTTGTGAAGTATAAAATATTTTGTCAATATGGATTGTTAGGGTTGGTGTGGTGGTTAAGAACAACCAAAGCTTAAGTCCTCCATAAGTGATCATATGTTTGATGGATTAATTAAGTGATCATATGTTTGATGGATTAATTAAGTAACGATGACATTCATGAGCCATATTGTTTATCTATTACAATACCATTTTTTACGAGTGTGAAATTTGTTTTTTTTAAGGTCATACTAAGTAACATAACATAATGATTGACACATAGCAAGATTATATATTTTTGCATATCACATCAACTATAAAATCAATAATTTTTATATTTACAGATCATAATATCATTCATCATGTCGAAATATTATATCAAAATAGCATTATTTTTTCTTTCTACGTGAAGTACTATTTTTATTGGAAGAAATTGGTTATCTTTGGGACAATCAAAGCCTTAGGTGGACAAAAATTAAATAAAATTCGGGGAAAGGAGGGGTTGACCCAACCCAACCCAACCTATCCACATCCCACTAATCTCTAATAATCCCTAGTCAAAGTTTAGTCAACTTGAATTTACTTTCATTTCCCTAACGAAAAATAATGATTAATTCAATAATTAAATATGTAAAAACAATCAAGTTAATCTATCATTATATAAAAAGAATAACAATTTTACAAATTTAGAAACTTTTTCCCGCCAAAATCATTATATATATCCTATATATAGTAATTATTGGACAAATCTGAATAGGCAAAAAAATACGCTCATTAATTGTGTAAAGATTTGTTTCTCTTTTTCCTGTTTCTTAGTTTATCGTTTTAACAACAAATATTTGTTTTTCTTTTTCCTATTTTTAGTATAAATCTACACGAGCTTATCTCTTCTGTTACAAAATCCCATTGCATACGATCTTAGGTGTTTAAAAAATCTCATCTCTTATCTATAGAGATTTGAAAAATAAAATAAAATAGAAATCAATTCATAATTACTACTAGAATATCATTATCTTTAAAAAGAAAAAATAAAATAAAATAGAAACCAATTCATAATTACTACTAGAAATTCATTATCTACTTTAAGAAGCTAATTTTCATCGGTCTAATTACTAATATTTTTACAAATATTCTAAGCTAACCATACAAAAAAGTATAATGATAATTTTGAAATGGTGTTTAATCAAAAATTTTTATATTCTCTTATACAAAATCATTTTATATTGTTTGACCCCGAATCTTTAATTTATAATTATTAAGTATTGTTTATCCTCCTCTTTTATTTATAATTATTTTTTTCCTTCCTCTTTTCAAATACGATCAATAGTAGTTTTCACTTTCGCCATTAACTCAAACTCGAGGTCTATTTATAATATTGTTAATTCAATATTGTTCCCGTGCATCGCACGGGCTACACACTAGTTAATAATATAATTGCTCTTTGATTATAAGAAACCCAAACATGACTCTATGTATGAGACCGATATGAATCTCATTTAAAAGCTGGACAAGCCAAGTTGGCTAACTATATTATATGGTAAAAAATATTAAATTTGAAAAATCTACATAGACAACGTTTTGAATAGGGAGGATACGTAGAATAATACGATAAGATTTAAAAAACAATTGTACAAACTAATATTTATCAACTCTTATTTATAATCAGTTGATACAACCTTATGTTATTCACCTAATAATCAGAAACAATGTCGTATTTTATAAATTTGTCATCCTTCAAATAACTTGTATTTATTTAATTTATTTTCAAATTACTGCAGTCAACATTGGATTTATGGCCCGTGTACCAAAATACGACAAGGTATAGTGAATGTGATTCGAGATTATCTATATTGTTGCATGGAGAATTTATTTATTTATTATTATAATTCAAGAGTTTGCAGTCAATCAGTGAAATTACACCATCACAATAAGTAAAAATAATAATATCCCTTTATCGGATACGACCAATTCCGCTTCTCATTAGAAGAAGAAAAAAAAAAGTTGTAATTTGAATAAAAATCACAAAAAATCTAGTAATTCTCATTTGAAAAATCCGCCAAAAATGTAAAACTTGCAATAACCCAAAATTACAGTCAAAACAAATGTGGACATAAAATCGCTAGCCAAACGTAATTCAGTTGTCTTATGAAGGTCACAATTCATAATTATAATTAAAAATCCATAATCTCTTCTTAATTAAATTAACATAATAATTTTCTTATCCCCACCCACTCGATCACGTCCATGTAAGTATAAAATTGGTTGTGTTGTAGGTTCAAAGTTGGACGTATGAAAAAGATTTCAAAAATAAATAATAAATAAAATAAAATCAGTAAAACGATATTCAGTTTTCGGGTGCACAATTAATGTCGCAGAATAATTGTGATGGACGCGAGCAGGCTAAGGTATACGAGGCTCTTTCATCCTATGCAGTTTTTGTTTGTACTCGATGGATTAATGTACAAGCCTTTAATGCGTGTTTTCTCTTTCTTGCAGGGGCTTCTTGGGTTCAGGGTGCAGCAACAACGTCCACATGGGATGAAACTTCCGCCGCCGCATGCTCAAATGAACACTTCTTCAAGGATGGTACTTACAATTTTTTTTTTCTTTTCATTTTATGAGAATATATTTATTTTATTATGAGAAGAGAATAAAAATGTTGAATTAAAAATTTTAGATATATAAATCTGTGGTTGTATTGTTGTTTGATAAACATAACTGATCCATATTAAACTCTGCGTTTCCAATGAGCTGATCGATCTAGTGTATATCTTATAAAGTATTTAGATCTTAATGGAAAGAAATTGTGGGCCCTTTTGATTAAAAGGATATGGTAAAATTCATGGTCTTTACGCGACGTCAAAATAGAAGCATGAGAGGAATCGTTATATTAGTTGGTTCATCAAAGTCATATAGACAGTCAATCACACATACCTTATTAGTTGTTAGATCAATAAGTGTTGTAACAAAATTGTGGGCTGGATGAGAATGTGTGCCCCTTTCAGCCGAATTTACTGAAAATATTAATTGTAGATCGCATGGTCTTTATGTTATGCCAAAATAGAAGCACAACATGGATCATTATATTAGTTGGTCCATCTATTATAAGTCAAATTAGAATAATAAAGTCAGTTTTAGAAGTTATAGACAGTCGATTAGATTGTATACCTTATAAGTTATTAGATCGATAAGTGTTGTAACAAAGTTGTGCCCAGGATGAGAATGTGGGCCCCTTTCAGTCGAATTTACTAAGAATATTGTAGAACACGTGATCTTTATATATGTGATGTCGAAATAAAAGCACAACATGAATCATTATGTTAGTTGGTGTGACCACTAAAAATCAAATTAGGATAATAAAGTCAAATTTAGAAGTTATAAACAGTCAATCAGATGTATATCTTATGGTTAACCAAATTTTGGCGGAATGAGAATGTGAGCCTCTTTCAGCCGAATTTATTCAAGATATTAATTGCAGAACATGTGGTCTTTATATGATATCAGAATAGAAGCTCAAGAAGAATCGTTATGTTAGTTGGTGCGACCTTTGTAAACCGAATTAGAATGAGTCAAATCTAGAATTAAAGACAACCGGTCAAACATACATGTTATAATGTATTTAGTTCAAACTTGTGGTCGTGATGAGAATGTGGGCTACTTTCAACCGAATATACAGAGAATTTCGTAGATCACGTGGCCTTTACGTGAAAATATAAGCACGAGAGGGACTGTTACGTTCGTTGGTGCAACCGTTTATGTCCCCTTGCATTCTTGTTTGTACTATTTGGACTAATGTACAAGTCTCCGATGCGTGCCTTCATGTCAGGGGCTTCAACCGGTGCAGCAGCCACGTCCACATGGCATGAAAATCCCACCGCCGCCTGCTGCTCAAATGAACTCCTCTTCAAGAATGGTACTAATTTTAATAAAAACAAAAAGAATTTGATAATTGTGATTTTTAAATTTTATGAGAATAAGTTTATGTTATTTTATTATATTAAATTATTTCATGGCATTTTATTCTGTCTTTTTATAAGGAGAACCATGTCATGTTTATGTTGTTCACATAACAAATCAATTTTAAACTATGTGTTTTCCAATGAGCTACACCAATTTAAATATCTAATCTCAAAAACCTTATTAGGGTTTAGAATTTTATTAGATGTATATATATTTGATTGTATGACATTCGAAAATAGAAGCACGAGAGGGACTGTTATATTTGTTGGTGCAACCATTATAAACTGAATTAGGATAATAAAGTTTAATCTAGAAAGGTGATCGAGCAAACATATAAAGTATTTTAAATCAGTTTGCTCTATATTTGAAGCTCGGAACGGGAGGGACTGTGATATATATTAGTTGGAGTGACGGCTATAAATCAAATTAGAATAATAGAGTCAAATCTAGAAACTAAAATGGCTGATCAAATGTAGACCTTATAAATATGTACTTTAGCCGATATTTGTTATAAAAAAAATTATGGTCGAGATGAGAATGTGGGCTCCTTTTAGCTGAATCTACTACGGATATTGTAAAATATGTGGTCTTTATGTAGTATGTAATTAATTTATTATTTTCTAGAAATAAATATGGTAGTTAATTTCTTTTTAAGGAGAAAAAAAATAGTGGAAACTAGATTGCAATGACAATAATAATATACCAAAAATACCAATTTGCTCACTGGTCTGTTTCTTGCAGTCTCGAGGTAGGTGGAAAAATAGGCAGAGGTCACAAAGGAAAGATCAGAGTCAAACTATTTGGGCCTCTACTGAGCTTAAGAGAAATCAGAATAGTTGGGCCTCTCCTGAGCCTCGGATGCATGCAATATTTTTAGGCTCAGGCCCAAAATCTTCTGGAACTGGAGTTTTTATTCCCCAAACCCATGTCGCTATCCGCCAATTTAATAAGAGGCCCGGTATGACCCTATTAAATGACATAAATGACATCAGTTCATATATCCATTTTTGTTTGTCCAAATTTAGGGTAAGGCTACAATCCCGTTACGGAACCATTCCGTTGATCTAACGGTTACAATCCCAACGGAATGGTTCCGTAACGGGATTGTAGCATTTTTCCCAAATTTATATTATTTTATTGACACTAAAGTATGAAATATGAAAAGCAAGTTTATTTTGTTAGAAAAGTATAATGTTTAACCATTATGCAGCCTAAAAGAAGATCAATCAACCAATCAACCGTTACATAAATTGTGCATATTAATCCAGAATGAAACTAATCCAAATCTATATATTTGTTATTTTATTTTCTCTCTTTATCAAGCTTTCTCTCCAGTTTTGCTCCCTGCACGAGTCGTTCAAGCCCTGAACCTCAACGTGCATCGTGAGCTTCTCCAGCCTAATAAGCCTCAATCAGGTTATATAATGTATCTTGTTTACATTTTAATAGTCTAATTATTGTGTGAAACAGTCTAATCGTTAAATGAATCGATGGTCATATATTTTTTTTTTAAAAAAAAATGCTTGTTTATATTATGAACTATCGTACTTTTTGTTTATATTGTTTATAAGAATTATGACATTCAAATCTGAAAGTATATGCATGTCTATTGAAAACATATAAATGTTTAACCGTTAAACTTGTCTAACGGTATAGTCTTGTTAATATTCATTTATTTATTAATTTTTTTTTCTTTTTTTTCTTTTNAGCAAGGGTGATTTTAAGAATAGAAAATAAACTTTCACCATTAAAAAAAAAAAAGTTATCTCCCTGTGGAATTTAATTTGTGCGGGCTATTTAAATGTTTAATTTAGCTCTACACATATGATGTTTTGGCCTGCATGGATGTAATAATCTGAAATAATAAAAGCTACTCAATAATAGTTATATTTACTTCATCATCAGCTGATTTGAGTGTACTTCATTATATATCATTATATGTCCTACAACATCAGTTGTTTATTATTATTATTATTACTATTATTATTATTATTATTATTATTATTATTATTATTATTATTATTATTATTCTGCGCTAGAATTTGTATGAAAAAAACGTTGCCCAGTTGCACTGAATTTCAGTGCTGCGCTAAAGTTATGAATAATCAATGACATTGCGCGTACTATTCTTAAGCATTGCACTAGAATTTGTATGAAATATTCTCAATTAAATGTTGCACTAGTGCGGCTCTAGTACAACATTTTTCATGACACTATATTTTTTTATAACTTTATTTATCTTAACATTTTATTATTGTAACAAGTTTTGTACTAATAAATTAATGCTAATCAATCCATAATTTGTTTTTGAAATTCTAACAAATTATTGTTTTAGAAATATATACTTAGATTAAATCATGATAAAATAAATTAAAATGTTATAATTAACAAGCTTCTTTTTTCACCAATAATGGTCTTGTTTGGTAATCAGCTGTTAGTGGATTGCATTAACTGTTTTGACCAGCTGATAGTGTTTGCGATTTGTAAAAAAGTGTTTGATAAATAGCAATTTTGAATTAGCTGTTAACATATAAAATTACTTATAAAGACATATTATTTATGTTGAACTTATAATTATTAGGAAATAAAAATAATTAAAATTTGAAATGTTAATTAAAATGATTTAAAATATATAAAATATAAATAATAATAAAATAAAAATATTTCTAATAAACGTAACTAAGTTCACGTCATATACACGAAACAAATAACAAATCATCAACTGCTTTGTAGGGATTATTTGGACAATATTAGTGTCAACTCCAAAATTCTAAATAAAAAACAATCAAATTATATTTGTCCTTAATCTTATTTGATAAAAATCTTTTTACCAAAATTCTCATTATGATTCATGAGCCCTAAATAAAAACTCAATCTTTCTTTTTCCTTCATTTACACTTTCATTATTTCCACACCAATTTGACACACAACAAAAATTGCTTAATTTCGATTAATAGACCAGAACCATCGTCCCCAAAAACCCATGTGCCACAATCCTAATAAAACTCCTTTCTTTGACGAAATTTGGTGTCTTTTTTTCCCAGAATTTGGCAGCCCGTAATAAGAAATCGCAATTGAACACAAATTAAAACACTTTGAATCTTTATTTATTTTTTTATGTGTAATTTATACCCTAAATTAGTTTCAGTCATCCATGGCTGCTGCCCTGCGGTCGAAATCATCTCGTGATAGAGCTTCGGCCGCTGTTTACCAAGCCTGTGACTTTTCCTTTATTTTATTTTTTTCTTCAATTTGTAGAAGTTGTAAGGGTAGGACTGCCCTCGAGCACAACTTATTTGGAAACTCTCCCCTCTCAGCNAACAACATAGCCTTTAGTCCCAAGCAAGTCGGGGTAGGCTAGAGATGAAACCCAAGAGAAACACAAAAAGACTCGAACCGAAAGGAAGAGATCGAAAAAAGAGAGAGAGAGAGAGAGAGAGAGAGAGAGAGAGAGAGAGAAAGAGAGAAAGGAGCAAAAGTCACGGTTCTGGCACGTTGATAGCGAGCCTTCAAGCGCTCCTATCCACCGCTAAATCCTTGGAGATATTCCAATCTTTAAGATCTCTCTTAATCGACTCTTCCCAAGTGAGTTTAGGCCGACCTCTACCTCTCTTAACATCCTCGACCCGCTGTAGAACTCCCCTACGCACCGGTGCATCAGGAGGCCTCCGTTGGACATGTCCGAACCACCTCAGCCGATGTTGAACCAATTTCTCCTCAATTGGAGCCACCCCGACCCTATCTCGAATATCCTCATTCCGGATTTTATCCCTTCTTATGTGCCCGCAGAACTAACGCAACATGCGCATCTCTGCTACACTTAGTTGTTGGACATGTTGTCTTTTTGTAGGCCAACATTCAGCACCGTATAGCATCGCCGGGCGAATCGCCGTCCTACAGAACTTACCTTTTAGCCTTTGTGGCACCCTCTTATCACAGAGAACGCCCGACGCTTGACGCCATTTCAACCAACCGGCTGCAATTCTATGCCTAACATCAGCATCAATGCCGCCATCCTTTGTAGCATCGATCCCAAATACCGGAAAGTCTCCTTCTTGGCCACCACTTGCCCGTCAAGGGTAACGTCACCATCATCATGTGAAGCCATGCTAAAAGCGCACGTCATGTACTCGGTCTTCGTCCTGCTAAGTCTGAAGCCTTTCAACTCTAACGCGTCCTTCCACAGCTCCAACTTCCTATTTACCCCTGCTCTCCTCTCGTCGACTAGCACCACATCATCAGCAAAGAGCATACACCAAGGGATGTCACCTTGTATGTCCCTTGTGACCTCATCCATCACCAAGGCAAATAGATAAGGGCTCAATGCTGACCCCTGGTGTAGTTCTATTTTAATTGGGAAGTCGCTGGTGTCGCCCCCACATGTTCGAACACACGTCATCGCATCTTTGTATATATCCTTGATGAGGGTAATGTACTTAAATGAGACTTTGTGTTTTTCTAAGGCCCACCACATGACATTTCTCGGTACTCTGTCATAAGCCTTCTCAAGGTCGATAAAGACCATGTGCAAGTCCTAGATTGTGAAACATCTTTTTTGATTGGATTAAAAAGTCAAAACGCTAATAGTCTCAAAAATGCTAAAATATGGCAAAAAGCCAATAAACAAACAAGCCCAATATCTCAAACCAGAAGTAGGTCCACCAAGATTGTGAAACATATTTGTTATGTACAAGCATTTCCAATGGGTTGTTAATTGTAAAAATGTGGAAGAAGTTCAATAAAAAATGTCTCCGTGAATGTCTAGATTCTATTCACAATGACATGACAAGAGAAAGAAGAAATAAATTCTAGAACTCCTTCTACACGTAGAAGTCATGTTAGACATGGTGATCCATATTTTTTAAGTTGAATAAATAAATCATTGGAGACTTTTTATGTGTTTGAACATCTATTCCTTACACGTGGATGGAAGACCATCTACTTAATTGTCACATACACTATAATTCATGCTTGCCATTGGAGATTCTCTAATATATCTAACTAAATTATACATTACCCTTAAAAATAATTTAAATGATTAGAGTAAAAGAATAATGTCCGGAGAAAAATATACAGCACATATATATATGTGTGTATTTATGGAGCATAATTCGAGAGAGATCTAGCTTGCATTAATGTTATTTGTTAAATCACACATTATGAGAATAAATTTTGCCAAGCTTATCCAAAGATTTAAAACCCAAGAATGTGTATAACAATCTAGGTTTTATTCCGTAGTTATTTAGCTATAATGCGGTTGATCACTCTCTTCACTTCTATGATACTTGCCCTCCTCCCGTTCATGTTCGCTTTCACCTGCAGAAAAAAAAAAGAAACAAAAAAAAGGTTTAAGAAAAGAAAATAAAAAATAGTAACGGAGAAAAAGATTTTTTTTTTAACAAAGTACTCTAATCATTAGTGAGGTTGATCCGTAATAAACTAATAATAATTGAATACTTATTTTATTAAACATAATATTTGTGTTTATTTATTTTGTTAAAGTATGATACTTTTTAGTAGAAGTATATTGTATACATATAATATTGTAGTATACATATTGTAGAAAGAGGGACACTAATAATTAAGTCAAGCTAGCAAAGAACAAAAGAACAACTATAGATAAATTAATTGATTGATAATAATCAATAGTAGTTTTGGAGATATAATAATTAATAGTAGTTAAAATTAGTTAAAATTATATAATAATCAATAGTAGTTTAAACTAAATGTCATATAATAACTATAGATAAATTAATTGATTGAAAGAAGATAGTAATCAAAAAGAAAAGAAAAGAAAAAACCTTCAATAATTAATAGGGCATACATAGTTATACCATAGCTCTCAACTCCGCAGCGAAAAACCCGTCTCCGGCCGTCGACTGCACGGCCGTCACCACCACCCCAACTCCACCGAGCGTCTGCATCAACTCAAGCAACAAACCCTCTCTCTCCCGACACTCTATCACCACAAGCGCGTCCCTCTCGATAATCGAAACCTCCACCCGCGTTTTTGTTGCCATTCGTTGTTGCCCGCCTCTCAAAACCCTGGACGTCCTCTCGGATTCGAGCTCGTGTAATCTTTTCCTCAGCTGCTTCAGATAATCGATGGCGTCGGCCAAGATGGAGGCCTTGTCGGTCTTTGTCACAAACGGGAGGAGTGACCTCAGTGCCACGAATCGCTTGTTCAGCTTTTCTCGGCGGCGGCGCTCGGCATGGACGTGACCGCTGCCGTTGGGCTCGTCGTCCGGCGTCGGAGGGTTGTGGAGGAGAGGGACGGTGAGGAGGATGTATTTGAGGGCACGTTGGGAGGAGGAGGAGGAGGAGGAGTCGTAGTGGTTTTGGCGGCAGTTGGTGGTGGTGGCAGCAGGTGGCGGCCACCGGAGGAAGGCGGAGGTTCTTCCTCCGCTGGCGGAAGGGGTGGAATAGGTGGAATGGTGGTGGGCGGAGTGAGTTTCGAGGATAACGGTCACCGTTCGGGAGTAGTGGCTGTCTTCCGTCTCCGTTTCGTCGCCTGTTACGAAACCTGTACGAGTCGAGACGAGTTTAGTTGCATCAAGGCAAATATAATAGAATATGTATTTGGGCTTTGAATTTAATATATATATATATATATATGTATATATATATATATGTATATATATATATGTGTATATATATTATTACCGACTCAAAAAATAGAAATATTCGTATCTTCCTAGGGCAGTGCTCCTATCGATTTTTTCACCATTGATTTCACATATCCATGTTGGTGGGTGGGTGTCTGTGTGTAAATCAATGGTGAAAAGGCCAAGTATATAACGAATATGTATTTGGACTTTGAATTTTATATATACTATTGGCTACTAAAAAATAGGAACAGTTATACCTGTCCAGGACACTGCCCCTATAGGCTTTGTCACCATTGATTTACGCACATATCCATGTAATATGTGTACTGTGTGTAAATCAATGATGAAAAAAACTACAATATCGAACTTTGCGATAAATTGAATGTGAAAAACCTTTATATCACCCAAGGACTATCTATCAATTACAGCAAAATTATAAACTACGATTTACTAATTTGGGACATATAACAACTTTGCTAAGTAATTTTTTAAGATTACAATATATGGTCTCTAACTAAACCAAAAACTCTATAGAGCCATTGGATGGTTTTCTTATGAAGTCATCCACCACTTAATGTATTAACATTTGTCCAGAGTGTATTTATTGCAGGACACATGTCAATACACTATTGGTGAATAAGTGTGGATGATTCCATATGCCGAGTTATCCGATGGCTCCATAGCAAAACTATTAACTAATAAAACATAGTACAATAATATGTCAAAAGAATGCAAAAGTACCGAT